CCCATTGCATCCATTTCTGTCATCGCCTCCCCCTTCCCTCAAAGTATGAAACGTAAAATTCACTCCATCCAACGGTGAATGGTCTTCCCACTCTTTTCTTCTATATTATATATGAGTGTATATATGAGTTGATGAAATAAATTCTGCCCTACCCTCACCACCATCACCCGTGTATGGAATAGGTTCATGGGGATTTTCGCTGAGTTAGTAATTTGAAAACTCATAAAAACTCATAAAAGCTCATGAAAACAAAATAAAAACGGGTCAGTGGATAATTAGTTATTTTGATACGTTAGAATTAATCAATTCCATAGCTCCAGCACACGTTTCACGCGGTACTGGAAACACGCATTTATTGGTTCTCAGTCTATGGTTCAAACCTCATGTGATAGTGGAGAGACTGACTACTTCTTCGTGCAGTGTATGCATTCATATTCGTATTTGATCCAAAGTTATTTCCCAATTCCCATATATCCATTTGACGATTTCGTCATTTTCATCTTCAGACAAAATCTTTCCCCGTTCTGTTTTACCCTTGGTTTTGTTTGGTTACTTGGAGATGTTATCCACAAATACGCGGTTTTGTACTTGACGACGCAGCATTTCGCTACATACCTCCAATCGCTGTCATCGTGGTATGATGAATCGACAACTCACGTTCGTATCTCGCGAGGATGGTGCGCGTAAGAAAGAACCTCTTGGCTTAAAAATCATTGCTCCGGATTCTGCATCGAGCACCGGAACTCAAGATCACTTCAAAACTTTGGTGGATGTTTGACTCAACTATCTCCTACCTGCAGGGACCGAGATAATGGAATCGCGCGCACTCCTTGTTCAGTGGCGTGCAATCAACGCAGAGCTTATTCTAAATGAACGCAAACAGGTCGCCCATGTTCGCTTCTTATTGGATGATAGCTCCTGGATTGACTTATGGACCTTGTGAATGCAACCAATCAAAAGACTCTATATGGTCACAACGGCTGTCTATTCTACTCCCAGTGACAAACCCAAGGATAAGGTGCACAACCATGCTAGTGTTGATTGGGCTGTCATCTCTATATGTCAATTGCCATAATACCTTGCCCCATTCACCCTCGCATTTCGGGTCCGTCCACGAAAGCAACCAACTGCNGTATGTCCTTGAACCGATTCGTAACTATGTTGGCGCCATCGCAATCCATGGATTACAGTTATGTTCTGTTGTACCACCGATTTTTCACTTTCTCACAAGGCAAAATGCTGCGGAGGTCTTCGGCTTGGTTCATGTGATAAGATATGGCTCACATGCTTTCTCTTGCGCTTCCATATTACCTAAAGTGCATAGACAATGAGAGTCCGGTGCTAGCGTTGACCCAGCAGGCAGTGATAGGTGTACGCGTTTGACAACAATCCGGTCAGTTCTCCAATCCAAGCAACCGTCGCATGACCGTTCTTCATGGTGTGCGTTCGCATAGGGTAGAAAGATAAACAGAAAACCGCGTCTGTATCTGACCTCGTCTGTACAGAATTCTGAAAACCTACGCCTTAAGTTCTCTCAATCTACCACCTGGTCGGAATCGTTCTGTTGTGTGACGGGTAAACTGAGGCAATTGGGTCGAATCCGGGTC